GCAAAGATGCTCAATAAAATACTTGCCTACAGAATCCAAGAACACATCAAAAGGATCACCTGTATGTTTCATCCCAGAGATGCAGGGTGGTCCAACATATGTAAACGGTTAAATACAATCCACTATATATAAACAGAAAGGAAAAGACAACACGATCATCTCATTAGATGTAGAAAAGGCTGTTGACAAAGTCAACACCCCTTAATGATTAAAGTCTTGGAGCAATTAGGGATACAAAGTCTTCACAAATCTTGAAATGACAATTTTCAGCTTCAAGGACAAATGAAAAACCCAGGATAGATAAAAAAAAAATGCCTGAATAATAAAAGAACTGCTGGAAACTCAGGACCATCAAGTTTTACTATAAAACTATAGTAATAAAAATAGCATGGTATTGGGACAAAAACAGACATGTTGATCAGTGGACTTGAACTGAAGACCCAGACATAAATCCACACACCTATGGATACCTCATTTTTAGTAAAAAAGACAGAAATAAAAAATGACTAAAAGACAGCATCTTCAACAAATGATACTGGTCACACTGGATGTCTTCACGTAGAAGAATTCAAATAGATAATGGATCTATTTATCACCATGCACAAACTTCAACTCCAAAGGGGTCAACGACCTCAACAAGATACATTTAATCTTATAGAAGAGAAAGTTGGGAATAGGCTTGAACTCACAGGCGCGCGCGCACACACACACACACACACACACACACACTCACACACACACACACAGACATTCTGAACAGAACATAGTTAGAATAGGCACTAAGATTATCAATTAATAAATAGGACCTTATAAAACTGAGAATCTTCTCCATGGCATGGGACACTCCACATACGACAGAGGGCTATTACCCAAAATATATAAAGAACTCTAAAAACTAGATAGTGGGTTGGAGAGATGACTGAAAGTTAAAGAGCTTTGACTGCTCTTCCAGAGATCCTGAATTCAATTCCCAGCAACCACATGGCGGCTCCCAGTCATCTGTAATGATATCTGGTGCCCTCTTGGTGTGCAGGCAGAATAATGTATATGTAATAAATAAATAAATCTTACAAAAATAGATAGTGAGAAAACAAATAACCCAATTAAAATTGGAATACAAAACAAAATAGAATTTTCAACAGAGGACACTAAATGGCTAAGAAGCACCTAGAGAAATGGTCACCATCCTTAGCCAGCAGGAATGAAAGTCAAAGCTACGTGAGATTGCTTCTTACACCTGTCAGAATGACTAAAATCAGCAAAACAAGTGACCACTCATGTTGGCAAGGATGCAGAGTAAAATAAACACCCATCCATTGCAGATAGGAGTGAAAATTCATACAGTCACCATGAAAATCAGTGTGATGATTCCTCAGGAAACTAGAACTACCTCAAGTCCAGCTATATCAGTCTTGGGCATATACCCAAAAGGATACTTCATACTAGCACAGAGGCACTTGCTCAACCATGTTCATTGACACTCTATTCATAATAATCATACATTGGAAACAGCCTATGTCATCAACAAATGCCTGGATAATGAAAAGTTGATTCATTTACACAATGTAATATTACTCAGCTGTTAAAAAAATTAAACTTGTAAAATTCAAAGGCCAATGAATAGAACTAGAAAAACATTATTTTTAGTGAGATAAAACAAACCCAAAAAGACAAACATGATATATATTTGCCAATACATGGATGCTAGCTAGCTTTTAAGGCTTCTACAGGCATGTTACAATCCACATAAACACAGACATTATGTATTAAGCAAGAGACTAGGGGGAGGAAAGGATTTCTTGCAGAAGTGAATAGAACTTATAGTTGTGGAGAGATAGGGGATAGCTGGAATGGGAAGATTAAAAGGAAAGGGAGAGGGAAGAAAAAGGTTAGGGAGAGAAGATAGGAAGGGCAGCTAACACTAAGGGTCATTTGAAGGGTTATACAGATACCTACTACAGTAGAAACATATATATATATATATATATATATATATATATATATATATATATATAAAATCCTTCATATTTAAAAAATTTATATACTCACCTTCTCACCTTCCTGGACCTGGAGGGAGTGGGGAGGAACTTGAACTACCCACAGGGCAGAAAACCGTGACTGCTCTTAGGGATGGAAAGGGAGGAAAAGAGGGAGTGGGGGGAGTGGGAGGGTGTTGGGAGGGGGGCGGAAATGGAAACTTTTATAATTTAATAAACTTTGAAAAAAATAAAATAAAATATTAGTATAAAAAATTTATATTTAAGAAATTTTGTAAAAGGAATTGCCAAGTAACAGGAGAAACAAAGCCCCAATTGGACCTCTCTTGCCACCAAATTAAACCTCCAGTGCCAGGAATTAGTTACAGCTAATTGAGTTGTTGGACAAAGGGGCCTCATGTGAATCCCCAAGCAACTCAGGTTATTGTCAAGGATATTGATAGCTTTCCACAGGCTAATAGTAAGGCCCTATTCCTGAAGACACCTACATAGTTCACTGAACATGGAGAAGTACAGCTGGTTCTTAACCAGAGCCTTCACCCCTACTGGTGTTCATGGTACTAGGAAGTACTCTGCACACTACTAGAGGAGAAAGATAAACACCAACCCAGCTCCCAGCTTCCAAACCCGTGATCTACAATGGTGATCTGTCTAAATGATATGCTGATGAAATAGTGGCACAAAAGTTGTGGGATTAACCAACCACTATTTTCTCAAATTAACGGCCTAGTCCGTGGGCCTGGCACTGCTCAGATAGCCAAGAACTAGACAGGCCATGGACCTAGTGGAAAACCAAATACTGTTCTGCTAAAGCAGTAGTTCTCAATCTCCAAAAAAATATTTACATTGTGATTCTTAACACTAATAAAGTTATAGTTATGAAGTGGCAATGAAAATAATTTTCTGGTTGGGAGTCATCCCAACATAAGGAACTGTATGAAAGGGTCACAGAATTAGGTAGGTTGAGAACTATGTAGCAATAAAATGGCTCCTCATGGCATTCTTTTCTAAAGAAAAAAAGGTGCAGAATTGGAGTGGTTGGGAGTATCTGAGAGGAGATGAGGGAGAAGAAACTACACTGTACGTATTTTTTTTCTTTTATGAGAGTTGCCATGGTCATGGTGTCTCTTCACAGCAAGAGAACCCCAAACTGAGACAGAAGTTGATACCAGAAGTGGGGTATTGCTGTGATAGGCCTAACTGATTTTTCACAGAGAAATATGAACTTTAAGAATTTGGATTAGAAGAGCAGTTGAATGTGGGGATTAAGGCATCATCCTATCAAGAACATGGAAGACAGTAGTGTCATTTGAACTGTGGGAGCCTGGCTCAAGAGGTTTCAGAAGAGAAAAAATTTTGTATATAGTCTAGACTATTCCTGTGATAGCCATGTGGCTGCTTTGGTGAAGAATGTGTCTGACTTTTGCCCTTCTCCAAAAAATGTGCCTGAGGCTAAACTGCAGTTTTGGCTTAATTGCATTTGCAGAGAAAATTTCAAAAGAGCCTAGTGTCGACTATCATGTGGTTATTTGTGGTCATGCTTATAAAGATCTATAATAAAAAGCTGAGCAAGAAAAATTACAAAACAAACAATCCGAGGAGAAAGGGGGTACAGGAAGTAGAATGGAGCTAAATCCTATGTTTAAGAAGATAAACAGATTAAAGAAAACTGGGATGTTAAATGGAATAAACCTAGTTAAGCTTCCAATTTGTAAAAAGGAATTGAACAGCAGTTTGGATCCAGGTGTGCTGTACAGGCCTTTAATCCCAGCACTCAGGAGACAGAGGCAGGGGATCCCCGAGTTCAAAATCAGACTGGACTATAAAGCAAGCTCCAGGACAGCCAAGTTTAGGCAGTGAAGGTATCATGGAATACAGAAAGTTGTCGAGGGGGCCATGTTCCAGCCCTAGCAACCAAAACTTGTCAGTTTGGGCCATGTAGTTCTGGCTTTACAGTCAAGGATACAAGAAAGGGATTATGGACTCTCCCTTCTTAAGTAAGGAAAGCTGCTAAAGTCAGGCATGTGGAAGGGATGTCCCTGATTGGAGGCCCAGGGAGGGTATGTGAAGTTGCATGGATTGGCCTGAAGACCCCAAGATGTTGGAGATGCCAGAGCTATGGAATACCTGGCAAGGAGAGTGCTAACAGGGAGTGGAAACAGCCCAAGGGAAGATGTATGGTTGCAGCTGGCTTTGGCCTTGCTTTTGTCCAGTATTTCCTTACTATGTTCTCTTCCTACATTTTGGAACGGCAATGTATATTTTGTGCCATTATTTATTGGAAATATGTGATCTGCTTTTTTATTTTGATTTTACAATGGATTATAGTTAAAAGATTGCATGAGTCTCGAAAGAGACCAAATGCTATACTTTTAAACATTGGGACTATTATAGACTATAGAGCCTTTTAAAGTTTGACTGAATGAATCTTTGCCTTTTGTTATGGCTAAAATCCTATGGGGGCCAGGGAGTGAATGAGGTGGTTTGAATGGAAATGGTCTCACATACTCATGTGTTTAAGTACCTGGCCCCAAGGTAGTGGCACTATTAGGAGGTGTGGCCTTGTTGGCAGAGGTGTGTCACTGTGAGGACAGGCTTTGCGATCTCATATGCTTAAACTATGCGCAGCATGGAACACAGACTCCTGCTGCCTGTGGGTCAAGATGTGGATCAGCTCCTTCTCCAGCACTGTCTGCTTGCTTGCTGCCATGCTTCTCACCATGACAATAATGGACCAAACCTCTGAAACTGTAAGCCAGAATCAATTAAATGTTTTTCTTTGTAAGAGTTGCTGTTGTTCATGGTGTCTCTTTACAGCAATTCGAATTCAAACTAAGACACGGCATGAAAAATTTTTTAATTAAAACAAGGGGGTAGGATCAGTATAAGAAATATGTTTGGTATGTAGCTCAAAGTCTAGCAAAGTCTAGGTTCCCTAACCCACTTCCAACATGGTTTCTACCCATGCTGTATCCTTAAATAATACAGTTTCAGACAGGCAAATTTCTTTCTAAGGTAGAAGCTTTTAATAGAATTATAAAAAAATAACACTATTTCAAAATCAGGATAAGGAATTACAGGTATGTTTTCCCTCTACATACCCATATTCAAACATGATTTCTAGCCATTCATAAATTAATGAGGAACAAATACAGAACCAAAGTAGTGTGTCAACAGAAGAGTTGTATTAAAGCTTTCAGTCTTAGAAAACAGAAAACACAAAGTGAACTTGTGCAGCCATTTCCAGCTCATTATGCAGAGAAAGCATGTTACTGTGATAAACCACTGTCAGGACACTGCAGGCAAATCAGCAGGCCCTTTACTTTCAGAATTCAAAAGTTTAATCATTCTGAAAGGGGCAGAGACAAAAATATACTGCTGTATAAAAATCAGTCACTTACTTACTGCAGGATGTCTCTGAACTTCAGATTCTAAAGTAAGAAGTTACCCTTTCATATTTTTATAGATATTAAGTTAAGCAAATAATTCCCCTAACCATAACACACAGCTAATTCTATCATTTCAACACCATTTTACTGATGCAGAGGGCATTTCCCCCATCTCTCAGTCTCAAATGACTATTCTTCACTTTAAAAAAAAAATCAATCCACAATTTATTGGGTCACCATCATGGTCTACTGTCGCCATTCGGCACTGGTGTGATTTTTACCAGGTTCTGCCACTCTCTTACATAACAGTTCAGTGTACAATTGAAATGGCAAGTTCTCTATTCAAACTACAACAACAGATTTAAAGAGGGGGGAACTGAAGCTTTCCAATTGTGTGTTCATTCTTGAGGGGGGACGGCCTTTCAAAGTGATTCACTTTATACAATCTCAGAGAGTCCCAGGATTGCTTCTAAGTCTCAGTCTACTGATAGACAACACCATGGAAATAAAGTACCTACAATCTCCACCACTCCTTATATTCAATAAACTACACAGTAATGTCTTACAGTTAAAATGCTTTTGGTCATTTAAATATCTATGCACATAAATATCTGAAGCTTTAATATTCCAAAACTGTAGGTGCACAGTTAGGCCAGGGATAGGTTTCTCAAACTTGGTACTAGTGATACTTTTGGCTGGGTAATTCTTTCCTATGAAGAGGAGAGCCAGGCATTACATTGTATTTAGCAGAGCCTGTAGCCTCTACTGATGTCAGTAGCAGCCCACACCCATCTACTTTGTCCACCAAAAAACATCTCCCCACAATCCCAAATGTCATCTGGGAGCCCAAACTCCACTTGAGAATCACTGGATAGGACCTTCACTGTAGATATTACTGCAAACTTGGGGTGCACAAATAAGACAGGACTCTATGCAGTGTTACTATTATGAAAGAGTCTAGCAGATCCTCTGCTATTTGTTTATGGTGGGCACAGAGCTTATACAATATACTATTGAACCACATGGCTACCTATGTGTTACTATCTTTTTTTCTACTAAAAACACTAACATCAGACAGGGGTGGCGATGGGGTAGCTAATCCACCAACTACCTTGACATTGACTGATGAGGAAAGCTACAGTTCATAAACCTTTGCTAAGCAGAGGATGGAGGACAGTCAAGGCAAATGCCCTTCTTTCTGAATTCGCAGTCTCTCCTTCTCCACCTGCAAGCGCTCCTTTTCAATCTGCAGCTTCTCAGACTCAAACTTCAAAAACTGCAGCCGATCTTTCTCCAGCTGCAGGCGCTCTCGCTCGAGTTTCAACTTCTCCGCTTCTACGTCCTGTGGCTGTAGTATGGACTTCTCCCCCTGGCCGAGATCGTTCTCTAGGGCGGGTTTCTCGGCGCTAACCAACTGCAGCCTCCACTTCTCCCTCTCCATCTGCAGTCGCTCCTTCTCCAGCTGCAGGCGCTCGTGCTCCAGCTCCAGGTGGCGCAGGCGCTCCTTCTCTATGTGGAGCCGCTCCTTTTCTACCTGCAGCCTTTCTGCCTCAATATCCAGTCGGCGTTTTTCCAGCTCCAGTTTCTGTTTCTCTATATTCATGAGCAGATGAGGCTCATCATATGCAGGTCTGGACGGTGTGGAATTGAGAGTGAAAAACTCGTCAATGTGAGGGAAGTCAGGGAGCTCACTTTCCCTCCTGGAATCTGGTATGACAGATGACAACATTTCTTCCTCTTCCTCAATCTCAAACTGAGAGAAAAAAAAAAGGGATAATTTGGTATTTGCTTTTACTTCTATCGTTGTCAATTTAATTTTTAGCTTTTAATAATTATTATTTCATTTATTATTTATCTGTTTATGTGTATGTCTCGATGCAGGTGAATGAAGGCCATAGAGCATTTATGAAGGTTAAGGGACAGTGTTTGTTTTGTAGTTTCCACCACATTGAAGCAGGGTCTTTTAGTGTTTTGCTATGAGGCAAACTCCAGGCTAGCAGACTGGAAGCTTCAGGTCTATTCTTCTGGCTCTGTCATTTGAGTGCTGGGATTACAGATACACGCCACGGCACTTGGCATTAATGGGGTTCCAGGATGTCAGGCTTGGGCCATTTACCCACTGAACCATCGCCCCAGCCCTGCCTCACTATTTGACAACTTTTTATGCTGTTTGAGCATATAAAACTACTTATTCTGAACTACTGAGATTATTTAAATGAATCCCCTGATGTCACTAATATGTATGTTATCACTGAGGTAATTACATTTAGGTGAAAAGACAGGCATTAAAGACACCAGGAGAAAACAGAATGACTGGTATCTATAATCTGTGAACTTGAACATATAGGAGCTTCCTCAGCATGTGTGGGTAGCTGACAAAACATGCCTCATGGGTTAATACTGTTAATACTTACCTCTGGGCTTTGCGGGTCCCTTTCTTCCTCTTCCACTTTGACCTCTGTTAGGGATCCACCTGCATCTCGGAAATCTGCCACATTCTGCCAGTCAAAATTTGCATCATTTCGGAATGCAATTTTTTCATCTATCTCTTCAGTGAGAGAGTCGTCTAAATCAGATGTGGGAAGAGGAAACCCAGAACCAACCAGCTTCATGTTGGCCTTCATTCTCTTCCTTTTCATGAGTGCACGCCAGTCAAGATACCGTCTCTTCACCTCAGTCCCTGTCCTCTGTTCGCCTTCTCCTACAGCGTTTACACACTGTGCAATCTCCTCCCAGGCCATTCGCTTCATCACATTTATTGTTGTGTTGAGTTGCTTGGAAAAAATTACTTCCTTCCTTTTGGTAATTTCTTTCAAAAGGGTCTGAGTTTCCTGAACACTAAAGTTGCTTTTCCTTTTCCTTTTCAACTGCTTCATTTTTAAAACTTCAGTGCAGGTTTTAAAAGCAGGAACACTTGTGCAAAGAATACAAAGAGTATGCTCCAAAGAACTAAGCCCAAGAACAACCCCTTGTCAGCTCTTAACTAAAAATCACGGAGTTTCCATTTATCCAGTCATGGAAGCAGTTTGATATCTGAAGGAGAAATGTAAAAGGAAAAAAAAAATCAACCTACAATTTACGCAACATACTGCAACCAGTGAGCTGTATTATTAAAACAACTATTAAATGCAGCTTGAAACCACTGGTTCACTACCATGGCTCAAATACACTCTGAAATTTGATTCTGTCTCAGTTTACCTCGACACACCTCTTAACTATCACAATCTGGGCTCATCTTATGAAAATATTTCTTCAGGAATTAACAACATAAAGAGTATCCCCCACTGAAGCAAAAATACTGCAAATATACAAGGCTAAACTGAATCAGGAATTTGCAAGTCTACTGCTGTTTGAGCTTTCTCTTTTATAGTAATAAGTATATGCTAAACCTCATTTTTAAAATTTAATAACAAAGCATTTTGTCATCATTTATAAACTTTTATTTTGTATTTTTAGAGCTCTAAGGATCTCTAAACAATCAACTGTACATGTTTACTTACATCATCAAAAGTATGCCCATCCCATCTTTTAGCTTCCCATTTAGTATGCCTATTATATGGAATAGCTATCTTTCAAAGAGCCACTTTATGAACAAATGGAGGCCAGAGAGAACTAAATGTTCTGAAGAATAGAAATGAACTTGCAAAAATCCCTATCAGTTTCACAGGTACACAAAAAAGAAGCAAGTCTGCAAAACCAAAAGATGACTACAAGCATATTATGTTTAAAATACACTTTGTAAATTTCTAAAGATATTTAATGATATATTGAAGTCCAGTAATTTCAAATGTATAATTAACACCAGCATGCTAGTAGTCTCCTTACAGTCTGGTGCAGGAGAATTGTCTATACTCTGTCAATTATGTTTTAAATAAACACTGACTGGCCAGTAGCCAGGCAGGAAGTATAGGCCGGACAACCAGACAGGAGGTAGAGGTGGAACAATGAGAACAGGAGCATTCTGGGAAGAAGGAAGCTGTTTCCACAGTACTGCCCAGATCACAGAAGAAGCAAGATGTGACCTGCCCTGCTGAAAAAGATACTGAGCCATGTGGCTAACATAAACAAGAATATTGGGTTAATATATATAAGATATAAGAGCTAATACGAAGCCTGAGCTAATGGGCCAATCAGTTTATAACTTATGTAGAACTCTGTGTGATTTTTCTTTGGGACTTAACGACTGTGGGAACCGGGCAGAACAAAAACTCCAACAAGCAGTCCCTTCATGTTACAACAGTCAAATGTAAACCTTTTGTGAATGAAATTTAAGAAAAAGTATTTATAAATTAGATTATTATTGAAAGACAATGTAAACTATAGTTATGAGAACAGATTCTGGAGTTAAACTCCCTGGGCCAGAAAACTAGATTTGACACAGGAACGGAACTGCAAGACTGACTTTAGACTCAGGTAGGCAAGAAGAGTCTAAATTCCAGGCCTGGATACATAGTGAGGCTTTTCTCAAAATATATACAAGATTAAAGTCCTTAATAAAATAATGACTACTGTTAGCAACAGATTTATACAGTATTCACCCTTAGATTTTACTGCTCTTAAAAATCCAAGATCAATTTACTCTTTACTAACTAGATTTGTTTTTTGTTTTGAGAGACAGAGTTAACAGCCCTAGATGTCCTGGAACTCACTTTTGTATAGCAGGCTGGCCTCAAGATCACAGAGATCTGTCCTGTCTCTGCCTCTGGAATGCTGGGATTAAAATTGTGTACCACCACATCCAGCTAACTGGACTGTTCTAACAGCATCGCCAAATGGCATAAATAGCAGCCCTTTTAACCTACATAATCTATGTGAGTTTTTTGTTTTGTTTTGTCATCGTTGCTGTTTTGTTTTTGTTTGTTTGTTTTCTGAGACAGGGTTCCTCTGTGTAACAATCCTGGCTGTCCTAGAACTCATTTTGTAGACCAGGCTGGTCTTAAATTCACTGAGATTTGCCTACCTTTGCCTCCCAAGTCCTGGGATTAAAGACCTGTGCCACCATGGCCCGGCAAATCTATATATTTTAAAACTCCTCAGTGTTGCTTCCAACTGCATAGCCTTTCCCCAAAATATGGTTCTCATGTCTATAGTTTATATACTATTCGTAGTTGGCATCCCTTTGTTTCCTTCCAACTGGGCTATGCTGAGCTAATGAACTATTTCATTGACAAAATACAGTTCCCTGCATTTTTAACCTCAACGGACTAGATATTAGAACCTGTGTTGGGTGCTCTTAGCTGTCAACTTGACTACATCTGGAATTAACACCCAAAAAGGGAGGGTACACCTGTAATGTATTTCTGCTTAATTTGGCATGGGAAGATCCACTCCAAATATTGAGAAGACATGCCTCTAATCCATACGATTTGAGCTGGGAAACCTACCTCTAATCTGGACCGCACCTTCTGCTGGAAGCCTATGTAAGGACACAGAAGAAGGAAGCGTTTGCTCTTTGCCTCCTTGCTCTCACCTCCCTAGCAGGTCCATTCCTTCACCAGCTTTAGAGCCTACTTCAGGATTCTGGTGCATACTGAAGACTAGCTGAGACACCCAGCCTTGTGGACTGAGCAGCTCCAGATTCTTGGACTTTCCATTCATAGCTAGCCACTGTTCATTAAGCGAGACTACAGGGAAAACTTTTACCTGAGGTTTTGACATTACTAAATGCAAGAAAGTTTGAGCATTAGTACAGTTGGAGGTAAAATTTGTTAGCTGCTATTTTATCGTGACTGAGTCTGTCTGTCTGGCCGTCCTGTTCTTTGCATTATGGTACCGTGTATGAGAGGTTTGCTTTTTCTTTACCCATTCGCAAGTAAGTTCCTCAAAAGTATTTACTGAGTTCCTACCATGCCTAAAGCACCACTCATGGTGTCAGGAAGACAACAGGTAATAAAGTGCTTAAGTAAGCCATTTCTGATGTCAATCACTGTCCTCCTTTATTGTTTTCATCCTGTTCTTACAAGGAATTTGGCAGTCACAACCTCTAAATCTCAGAACCCATTTACAGACAACAGTTGTTTTTCTGGTCTTTCATCTCTATCCATTCTTTACTGTTGGGAAACGGAAATGCTGCACTGCGCACTCACTTAACTACAGTGTTATAGGGGGACATTTTCCTCCTAAGGACTAACAAGGAAGATGATCTTTCTAGGCTGTGCCTCATACAGAACTAAGAGATCTGAGGGAAATCAGACAGTAAAATCTAGGTGAGAAAAAGAAAAATATAAGAAAGAAAGAAAAAGATTAAATTCACTAAGCAGGTAAGAAGGAAACCATTCCTAATTTACGAACTTCTCACCACAATCTCATTTCAAGAGTGAAGTAATTTATTCCTACAATATTCTTACAGGAAATATCCCCAATGTTCTTACAGGAAAACTACTTTTCTTCCTCTAAAACTTGAAGCGGTAAACACAACTGAAGTTTACGTAAAGGGTCTCCATCTAGAGAGTACAGCAGTGGGAGGGAAGGTGCAGCCGAGGAAGGACCCTGGGAAGAAAGCTGGGGATCTCATCTCGGAGCAGAGAGCGGGGTGGGAGAAGTCGCTGTGACTCAGAACACTGCTGGGCCCAATTGGAGTCCATGCAACTTGGAGGGATACTCTTGCTCCCTGCATAGTGAGTGAAAGCCCCATCTAGGTGCCCAACACTTCTGCAGAGGCCAAGGACTGCTACCCCTCCTCCCTAGTCAGGTGACAGCCGCGCGTGGGACTTTTCTTCCCAGCCTCATGATCCCGTGCTTTGCAAAACCGAGGCCAAAGCCCGCAATGGGGTCGCCCCACAGGGACCCACCCTTGCAGAGGTCCCCCTGGTTCCTCCAGCTCTTTGTTTCCCCTGCACCCCAACACTCACCTGCGACCCCAGCGGCACCATCACAGGATCGCCCCCTGAGGGTGCTGAAAAAGAGAGGCTTCGTGGAGTCCCCGCCCATCAACTTCTGCCTGCCTCTATTGGCCGATAGGGCTGCTCCTCATGAGTTACGGCTATCCCATTGGTCCGGGGGTGGGGAATTGCCTGTCTGCCTGAGAGCCCGCCCCAGGCCAGGTCTCACAATGGGAATCGAGTCCCAAACCGGTTCCGGGTTAGTGCTCTGGACACCGCCCCGCAGAGATTCGCCTCCCGCTCGGCGCTCACTCTTTGTCACGTGGCATTGTCAATCAAGCGTGCTTTAGCAAAGGATTGGTCCCTAGCGATAAACTTGCCCCGCCACTCGCCTGATTGGGGCAGTGGCAGCTCTGTCTCTAAACTGTACTCCGGCCCTTGACCCTCGGCAAAGCAAAGTGGAGCCACTTGCGTCACCTCAGCCCAGTCCCTGGGCCAGCATCCTCTTCTACTCACCTGGCTGCGACCTCCCTTAACCTCGAACTCTGACAGTGTCTTTTGCTTCTTAAATCTAAGGATCTCTTACTTTTGACCTCAAAAAGAACAGTTGGCTTGTGGACAATTTCTTCTGTGTTTTCTGTCTTCTCAACCCCTTATCCTTTTAAGCCCCCCGGGGCTAATTCCTCCATTGACATTCTTATAGAGCCTGACTTCCCTGTGCTTTGGCTCAGGCATCTTCAGTTCTCCCTGAATAATACCAATGCCCATCCTCCCATAGCCCACTCATCAAGTTAGTCCAAAAGTTCCTGGACAAATCTCCCTAATTTTAGGACAAAGTACAAACTCCTTAATAGATTTTCAAAAATACCAATCCTGCTTTTCTCTCAGACTTGATAACATAATTTCCCTTTTGCTTCCCCAGCTCTTTACTGCCCTAGATTCTAGACTCCTCAGTGCCTTGGGACTACCTTTGTCTTGCTGTGTTTCCACCCAAAAAGGCTTTTCCCAAGCTTTCCCACGCTCAGAATTCATTTTGGAAATTACATTCTAAAACAAGCCTTCCTTTCCAGTTAGTTACTTGCTGCTACTTCAATTTATCCTCCAATAAAGATTTCCAAGATGAAAAAGGATATTACGTTAAACTTGAATAACAATTTCAGTGTGACTTCCCATGTTTTTATTTGTTGACTCTGACAACCCTGCACAACTGAGATAGCATTGCAACCTTTGTCCTTGACCTCACAGCTCTTTCTTTGCATAGCAAAGCATATAGCATATAATAGGCACTTTAAAAGGTGTAAATACATGATAAAATATTGTGTATAAATGATAATTCCTTAAAGGTTATTTCTAGAAGAATACTTCCATAAACTAGGAAGTAATTATGAAATATGTTTTTTGAAGATTAATGGTCAGTTTAAAGATTTTATTTATGGCTGCTTTTTTAGAAAATCATATTTGTTATTTTCCCTAAGTAGAATGAAATTGACTTTTTTGGGTTTTTTTTTTTTTTTTTGGTTTTGGTTTTGGTTTTTCCAGATGGGGTTTCTCTGTGTAATGGCCCAAGCTGTGCTGGAAGTAGCTCTTGTAGACCAGGCTGGCCTTGAACTCACAGAGATCCTCCTCTCTCTGCCTCCAAGGCATGTGCCACCACTGTCTGGCTAGAAAACTGCCATTTTGGGAGAGACTGGTTCTTGAAATTTTTGCAACAAATCCCTTTATGTAGAGGAAGCAGCTGTCCTGGAACTTGATAATCCCCCTGCCTCAGTACTACCATAAACACCTGACACAAAACTTCTTTTCTGTAGAACAGGAATAAAAGTCCTCACCTCAGAGTTCACTCTAGTGAGTGATTCATCACTATTTGTCAGGTTAGCAAATGCTGGATTACCCCAAATATCCATTGTGTTTACTCCATCTCTTTACCAATCTCCATGGAAGTCAGGGAAGTACTACATCTGTAAGTTAAGTTATTAATTTGTATTTTACCTGAGTTCTTTGTTTGTAGGCAGTGAAAAAGGCTGTGATCAACACACAAAATACAGAAGTCAGCAAGGTCCAGAGTTTGCCTAGAAAGCTTGCCTTTGACTACTTGCATTTTTGCTGTTCTTAAGGGTAAGAGACATGGTTGCTCACAAGGTTTTATTTGTTCAACTATAGAAGCAATGTGCTGAAATTTTTTTTTCTGTAGAAAGATATCTAAGAGATACAGAAAAAAGTGGGGAGAAAAGCACTGACTGTGATTCACTAGTAAATACAAAGTATTTTTTATCTATCCCCTCAAACACCTGAAGAACATATCTTTCTACCGCTTGACCCATTACACACACACACACACACACACACACACACACACACACGTAAGTATATAATTAGTATTGCTTGACACACATATGTGTATGTGTGTGTTTTGTGTATGTATATGCAGCAGGGTCACCGACCAACTCCTAGATCGTGACATGGAGACTTATTATTAGTTATAAATGCTCAGCCTTTGTTTACACTATTTTTGGCTAGCTTTTTTTTTTCTTTACTTCAATTAACCTTTTTCTCTTCATTTACATTTTGCCACCAAAATTTTTAGTATTCTTTCTGTAAGTCCTACTCTGTGTCTGCTGGTTGGCAGCTGCTGGCTGACCCTCAGTGACCTTCTCTCTTTTTCTAGGTGTCCTCATTCTCTCGTCTTCTTTTTCCCATTCTTCTCTAACCTAGATTTCTCCTCCTATTTATTCTTTCTGTCCATCAGCCCCACCTGTCCAGCTCCTTCCAAGCTATTTGCTGTTCAGTTTTTATTAGGCCAATCAGGTACCTTAAACAGGCAAGGTGAAACAGCAACACCTTTACATAATTAAATAGACGCAGAATAAACAAATATTTGTTAACATCTTTACATCATTATCAAAGGCAGCAGAGCCAGGTGGTCGTGGAACATACCTTTACTCACAGCACTTGGGAAGCAGAAGCAGGTGGATCTCTGAAATTTAAATTGCAGCTATCAAAGTCAAGTGTGGGGGAATCTGATGTTTAGTTTTGAAAAAAATTTTGAGTTCATAAAAAGATAAAATAGAAGGTGATTTTATTAGCATACTTTAACATATAGTCCTTTTATTCCTGTTCTCAGGGTATTATCATTAATGGTGACTTTCATCTTGTCTATTACTGATCAACCTATGACTCCATCATGTCTCCAGCAGCAGACAGTTCTCTCCACTCTATTCTGTTCTCTCCTGAAAGTCATATTCTCTGACTTCACTTAGTGTGCTGTTCTTTATGGAATCATTCGATTTATCTCACGACTTCCAAAAGACAAAACCTCAGCAAAATAGACTCCTTTTTCATTTTCTTAATATCTCTCATTCCCAATTGTAAATTCATCTCTATCCTTTTCCCTTCAGTGTCTCCATTTTTGTGTGATATTTCATTCTACACTGCCCTCTCTGTCACTTTAGTTTCTAATCTTTCCCTACTTTTCTACATTATTAGAACATGTACAATCAAAGTGTGCATATAGATAATAATTTACTAGATTTTCAAACATTCTGGTTTCCAGCAAGAAATTTGAAAGTAGATAAGTAGGGCATGTAATATTTTTCTTAAACACAAAAGTCCCTCAAAACCTCAAGTAATTTTTTTACTAATATTTTGTGGCTCTGATTTTCCAAAATTTTATTATTGTTTTTGTTAAGTACTTTTTAAAAATCAACCTCCCTCTCCACCAATGCAAATAATCCCTATCAGACCTAATTAAAAGACACTCAGGTTTAAAGAATGCCAGCACTCCCGGTGGCCAGGGGAAAATATGGAGAGGGAAGGAGGGAAAAGGGAGACCACATGTTCATTTTCTTAGGGGTAGTTTAAATATCCTGTGGGAGTGGTCTTGACCCTCCCTGGGGAGGGGTCACTGTTTGGTGGGCTTTCTCAGAGGTGGTATTTGGACTGAGGCAACTCCCAGAGGAGGGAGCTTTGAAATGGAGCTTTCTGTCCACCATTCTTAAAATTGATGCCAGGGACTGGGGTGAGGCCCCCGAATGAAACAGTTTTTTTCCCAAAAATAAAAGCAAAGAGATTTTTCTGTGGTGTGTATATTAATAGTAAATGTCAAATTTTGATTATTTTAAGTTAAAAATTAAAGTATTTCAAGTTTGTTTAAAGAGAAAGCTAATTTTTATGATCAAAATATTTTTATTCTACTTTATGAATTTTTAAAAATCTTTTTACTTTTTAAGCACATTTTTCAGATTGATTAAAGCGTAGCAAAGTATGGGTCTTAGTCTACCCTTTTGTGCTAGACAGCTTTCCCACATATCATGGGCACTGACAACTCCAGCACCGCATTCTGCTGGGGAATGATGAGGACTTTATTTTAATAAAATTTGGAATGGTGTCAAAATTCTAGATTTCATTACTATAGCAACAGAGAACAATGGAAACACTAAATGTCAAACAAATTCAATGTTACCATAGTAATGATCAGTTGCTTTAACAAATACATTTACTGTTTCTTTCTGGTCATTTTATCTAATATGCTCATCCAATATGAATACTCAAAAAGAAGGAAAGTTCAAAATTGTTTTTTTTAAAGAAAAACTCTTCAAGAAGCAAATAAAAAGCAATTTATTTCACTGTCTTTTATTTAATAAGAAACTCACATGATTCAGAAAGAAAACCCTGTAAGGGATATAAAAAGTCTCAGCTTTGTTCCAATCAGTATTCTTCCATTCTTATTTACAGTCAGGAAGATTGAAGTGAGGCATTTAAACCATGTCTGCACTGCTGTAGCATGACATTTCAAACGAATCTTTCTAAACAGCTGAATAGAGGCAATTCTGCCATATGAAAGAGGAAATATTCTGTCTCCAAGACTCAATCACTTAGGCTCCTCCTTAGCAGTTCAAAAAAACACCCCTGTGACCTCCCCACCCCTACCCCTTCCATACCCCTTGTGGATCCCACATACCATCCCTTCCTGTCCTCTCTCCTTACCACTATTGCTGTATCCCAGCCCCCAACTCAGGCAGACTCCCTACTGCTCACTCATAGGCCAGGACTGCCAGAAAGGTAAGTTTGTAGCTTGTGGACCTTCCCCCATTGTCTTTGTTCTCCCAATCCCTCAGGCTCTTCTTCTAGCTCTTTAAGAGAATACCAGCTGTGGC